TTCCCTCTCTCCTCTTTCTCCCTCTCTCCCCTCTCTCTCTCCTTTCCCTTCTTTTTTTCTTCTCTCTCTCTCTTCTTTTTCTCCTTCTTTCCTCTCTCCCTCTCCTCTTCTCTCTTTTTTCCCCCCCCCCTCTCTCTCGTTTTCCCCCCCCCCCCTCTCTCTCCCCCCCCCTCTCTCTCTTTTTTCCTCCCCCCCCTCTCTCCTCGTTTCCCCTCCCCCCCCCTCTCTCTCTCTCGTTTCCCCTCCCCCCCTCTCTCTCTCTTCGTTTCCCCCTCCCCCCTCTCTCTCTCTCGTTTTTCCCCTCCCCCCTCTCTCTCTCTTTTCCCCCTCCCCCCTCTCTCTCTTCGTTTTCCCCTCCCCCCTCTCTCTCTCGTTTCTTTCCCCTCCCCCCCCCTCTCTCCTCCGTTTTTCCCCTCCCCCCCCTCTCTCCCTCTCGTTTCCCCTCCCCCCTCTCTCTCTCGTTTTTCCCCTCCCCCCCCTCTCTCTCGTTTTTCCCCCCCCCCCTCTCTCTCGTTTCCCCCCCCCTCTCTCTCCTCGTTTCGCCCCCCCCCCTCTCTCGTTTTTTCCCCCCCCCCTCTCTCTCTCTCGTTTTCCCCTCCCCCCCTCTCTCTCTCGTTTTTCCCCTCCCCCCCCCTCTCTCTTTTTCCCTCCCCCCCTCTCTCTCTCTCGTTTTTTCCCTCCCCTCCCCCCCCCCCCCCCCTCCCCTCTCTCGTTTTTCCCTCTTCCCCTCTCTCTCGTTTTTCCAACATGTTCTACTCATGGCTTCTTTATATAGCTGTGTCTCGCCGCCATCTCTGTAGAAGCCTGACCATGTGATCCAATGGCAAGCTCCTATGTATGTAGAACTACAAGTCCTAGCATTTACAACTTCCCAGTAGCTGCCATTTCACATAAGATATTCCTCAAATTGATGTGCTGCATCATACACTTCAAGCAATCCTTCTTTTCCCCTCCTTCCTTCCCCATGGCGCCTCGTACTTGTAGCTCCCCTTCCAATTCCCATGCAGGGACATGGCAGACAGCACACAAGCCAGGCATTGTAATTCAAGCAGGAGCCGTCCTAGGGATGCCACTACGCATGCGCAAAAGACGCAGAGGACTACAGCTTGTATGGGCTCACAGCTTGGTCAATCATCGGCAATGGGGCAGGCCACAAACATTCTAAGGGATGGATATAGTGTGGATTGGCTATATGGCTTACATCCCCATGCTCTCATTCGACATGCCATCTAGGGTACAGAGAGGCGGGCTCCAGGTACATTTTGGCATAAGGTACATCTAAAGTGCCTAGCCTATTTTTTGTCCCGGTCTGGGCCTGGCAACAGGCGTGACCAATTCCTATTGGCCGACGCCCCAGACATGCAGTTCCGGGCAGTTAATTTAAAAAAAACTTGCTCCGAACATTTTTTTTTAGCTGGCGCCTAGATTCAAAGCAAATTTGTTAAGCCCTGGATCCATCAGTCAATTTCAGTACAACCAGCCTGTGAGGTGTTTTTACACGACGCTGCTGTCGGCTATAGCCATCATCAGTGATAATTTGTTTTTTGACGCCAGGTAAACCTCCCACTGTCAGAATACAATAGAGGGATTCCTCCATCTACATTGACTGTGTTGGTGGGGGAATTGAGCAATTTTCTTTCCTTCAGTTTGTGGTTGAAGGAAAGAAAATTGCATAATCTATGGTCAGCCTTGCACTATGAACAGGCATGTAGATTTTCTGTATACCCTGGTTGGTGGTCACCTGCATTGATCCAGGGTGTAAAAATACAGGTCACCGCACTACATGTGAACCAGCCCTGACAGTGCCATGTAGCTGCTTCGTCTGCCGCAGCTGCTTCTTCTGGCTCATTCTCATCTTTTTTGGCTGTTGAGTGACCACCGATGGTGCAACTCCTGCACATTAGTGCTGGAGGTAAAGTATATGTGAACCCTCATCTTTTAAAGCAAACCCATTCAGTTTAAAATAGTAATGAAAGGTAAAACATTTGTGTGTAGAGAGAAAAAATTATTAGTTCCTTTTTTTCCTTTTTTTTAAAGGTGATCCCATACCCTGTGTTCTCAGATGCACAGATAGGTGGGAGAGGAGAAACAACAGCACGCTGGTCCTCCTGGTTCATGGCTGTCTAGTTGGAAGGCTGGTCAGCACAAGTTTGATCATTGCAGGAGACCAGGCTGGGTTCTCAGCACAGCTAGAAAACTGACCACACTGTGCTCGCATGTATGTGATCAGTTTTTATTGGGAAAGCAAAGGGACTGGTAGGAACACCAGGGATTTCACACAAAGGATACTTTTTCATTCAAGTATGGCTACTTTCAAACTGCTCCCGTAGAAAAAATATTGTAAAAACGCAGGTGTTTTTTTTTACAGCTTTTTTGCCTCGTTTCCAGGGTGTTTTGCACCTGTGAAAAAAAAGTCACTGAAAAACGCAACTGCGGGTTTTTTGGTGTTTTGTTTTCTTTTACTGCATCAAAAATGCAGCAAGCAGGACTTTGAAAAATGCAGCAGACCTGCAACTGACCAGCGTGAAGAGTAGGATTAAACGGTCTTGCGTTTTCAGCGCAAAAATGGAAGAAAAACGGATCAGTGTAAAGGCAGCCTTCGTGGTACATATCAAGTATATGAAATGTTGGGGCAACATTCTTTAAAGAAGATTGGGCTATAAAAAAAAAAAACATTCATACTTGCATACGTGCTGCAGCTGTCCCTGTCGCATGCCGGCTTTAAGCCTGTGAAATGAGTGATCACATGACCACTGATTGCTCAGCTCTCAGTCTGCTCTGAGCAGAGAGCGGTGACTGTCAATCACCACTCTCTGCTTCTCCAACGCACAACTGGGCTGAAGAAGGGGCTCAGGCCAGCAACTTAAGGGAAGAGCACTGACAACATATGGCCCCTAGTAAGCCCATGGGTGACGTCACCGCACGGGAGCGCACTGTTCTCTCCCCTGTAGCCAGTGCTGACTGACACCGGGAAGATCACGTGAATGGATCACAGCAGCCTGAAAATAGGTAAGTATCAAGCTCTTTCTTCCACAGGTTGGTTAGTATAAGTATTAGAAGGGGATGGGAGCTGTTTTAAGATTGTTCGCTTTAGCCTGAAATTCCACTTTACCATGGCTGTCAGAATGCCAAAACAAAGGCTGCATCTAATTGTCAAACTCTTCTGGGGAAGAGGGGAAAGTGTGAGCATACCAAAGGAGCAGTTACACTGTAACAGAGAAATTGGTGTTACCCCCCTGGCTGAGCTCTCTGCATGATCACGAAACCGGCTGGATAGAATTACAAAACCTCTGGCAGATATGACTGTTCATATATATGTATTTATATCATGTACTGAATTTAACCACTTGCCCTCCAAAAGATTTAACCCCCTTTATGACCAGACCAGTTCTTTGCTGTGCGGCACTGTGATATTTTAACTGATAATTGCGCGGTCATGCAACCCTGTACCCAATTGAAATCTGTTATTTTTTTCACACAAATAGTTTTCTTTTTGAAAATAGTTTTCTTTTCTTTTTGTGGTATTTGATCCCCTCTGGGTTTTTTAAATTTTGTATTATGTAAACGAAAAAAGACCGAAAATGTTGGGGAAAAAAAAATGAACAATATTTTTTACTTTTTGCTATAAAACATATTCAATAAAAAAATTTCTATATAAATTCAGTCCAAAATTTTTTTTTGTATACTAGTAATGGCGGCAATCAGCGATTTTATAACAGAACTGTGATAGTGCAGCGGGCACTGACACTGAGTGGGAACTGACTAACTGCCACTGACATCATCAGTGACATTAATACAGTGATCAGTGCTAATAATATACACTGTACTAATGACTCTGGGTAGGAAGGGGTTAACATCTGGGGCAATTGAAGTGTTAAATGTGTTCCTAAGGAACTGTTAATGTGTGCTGATTTTATTAAGGATCATGTTGGGTTTTTTTTTTTCCCTGCTTAGCAGGGAATGAAAAAACAACAAGATTGACTGTCATTTTACAGAGCTCTGTTTTCTTTACCATCACAGAGCTCTTTCTACAAATCACTAAGCCCATCAGCGGCTCCAGGCGGTCAGTCATTGGTTGGGACCTGCTTGTGCTGTAACGAATCACAGCCGGGTCAGCGGGCGGGCACTCCGTACCTGGAAGTGCTGATGATGTACTAGGTACGTGATCCAATACAGAAGAGCCACTCTGTCACTGTTTAAGTAAGTTATACAGTCAGTAAGCGGTTAAAGTGGTTGTAAACCTCAGACATAAAATATGAACAGATCATATCCCTCTATAGTGTGTACTTGTCTTACTCCAGAGCACAAAGTGTCATTTCCTTTGCTATCTGCATGAGTTACTTCTGAAAAGTTTCCTGACACCAACAGGTACAAAGGTGACAGGGAGGGAGCTTCTGCACATAGTCTATGACTGATAGCCTCAGCTGTGTTCCGGTGTTCTGTGAGAATAGGGTGTGCCCCTTCTCTCCAGCTCTCACCGAGCTCCGCAGAGTGTAACTTTAGCTGCCCGTCCCCTTTCTGAAATCTCAGAAAAACTATAAATTCTGGACTTTTAACGGCCCAATAGAATAGAGGGCTGCAGATAAACAGGTACAACCTTTTGTAGGAGGACTTGTTTCATCTCTGTGTCATCTGAGGTTAGTTATTTCACTGGGTATATGTGAGGAATTCCATTGTGAAGTCATTATTTTACCTAATGCGTTTAGATGGGTATGTTTTTATATAAAGTAGCGCTAGACCATATTTATCAACATACCTAAAAAAAAATATTTTTGGAAACCTTTTTGAATTTTTTTTTTCCCTTTGTAGTAGGAGTGAATAAGAATTGCTATTGAGCAGATAGTTGCTGTGGTCACATAACATTTTATAGAGTAATTGAGACTAATCTAAACCTGAAATTTTATAATGCATAATGATCACGTGTTTAATTGTTCTCCATACATAGCCTTGAAACTGGATAGAACTCTCAGCCACTAATCTGTCCCACTGGAGACTCCAGGATGTCGGGCCCAGGCAGTAAACGGTCAGCGGTGGACACCACCTTGGGTCCCCCAGAAAAGAAGGCTGCAGTAGAGGATTCTGGGACCACAGTAGAGACCATAAAACTTGGTGGCGTCTCCTCCACGGTAACCATATTTTTTTTGTTCTTGGTTTCCTATGCTAATAGTTGCCATTTTCCATTTTTTTTATAATAACAAACTGTTTATTGCAGGTACAGATGCATACTATATACAGTAAATACAAAGAGAGAGGATGTTACCATAAAGAACATACTTGAGATATTAATTACACTGCATACAAACTAATAACCTTCCATCTATGAACAAATATGCCTTAGGTAAAACATTAAAATGTTACTAAACCCACAACAGTAAAATCAGTATCGTGTAAAATATAAGTATAAGCGCCTTGATATAAATAAAGCTGCTAGGCACAAAAAGGTAACCAATATCACCCTAGAACATCAATATATATAAAAAAGTGCAGCGCTAATTTGAGCAAAGACAAAATATATAATGAATGGGTATGGATAAATATCCCTTAACCAATCCAAATACATACTAAATAAATATAAAAGTTCAAATGATAATGTGATCCAAAATAAAGTGACTCTTGTGCTCTGGTGACTCTAGGGTCCGGTATCCGTGCAATGGTGGTGACGGTAATGCGCACTCACCGGACGCGACGCGCATGTTAAATTCGCTTTGTGTAAAAGAATCCAGATGTCATCAGATAGTGGGTGGTCCTCCCTCTAATGTTAGGTAGTGTAAATCTGGTGTAGGTGGTCCTCTTCCTTTTGGGGTCCCCCTATAATCCTGGTGGGTGGTATCCCTCTGGGTGGGCAGACCTTCACTGTGCAGCAATGATTCGTCCAGGAAATTGGTCTGTGGGCTAAAGCACTTCCCCAGGGGGCAACAGAGATACTCCCGTAGTGTAGTAGGTGTTAAAATACTTTATTGTGATGCATCAAGGTAAGATAACAGAATGATTGCAGACAGAGATCGATGAGGACTAACCATCTAATATAATAAGATGGCCGCCGGAGCTCCACGTTGCTCTGGCGGCGTGACATCACGGCGTGGTGTGGCTCCTCCTGACGCTCAAGCACGTCCTCAGAGGGGGGTCGCCAATGATTGGCGACCCTCCTCTGAAGATGTGCTTGAGCACGACACGCGTCAGGAGGAGAGCCACACCACGCCGTGACGTCACGTCGCCGGAGCAATGTGGAGCTCTGGCGGCCATCTTATTATATCAGATGGTTAGTCCTCATCGACCTCTGTCTGCAATCATTCTGTTATTTTACCTTGATGCATCACAATAAAGTATATTAACACCTACTACACTACGGGAGTACCTCTGTTGCCCCCTGGGGGAGTGCTTTAGCCCACAGACCGATTTCCTGGACGGATCATTGCTGCACAGTGAAGGTCTGCCCACCCAGAGGGATACCACCCACCAGGATTATAGGGGGACCTCAAAAGGAAGAGGACCACCTACACCAGATTTACACTACTTAACATTAGAGGGAGGACCACCCACTATCTGATGACATCTGGATTATTTTACACAAAGCGAATTTAACATGCGCGTCCGGTGAGTGCGCATTACCGTCACCACCATTGCACGGATACCGGACCCTAGAGTCACAAGAGTCACTTTATTTTGGATCACATTATCATTTGAAATTTTATATTTATTTATGTATGTATTTGGATTGGTTAAGGGATATTATCCATACCCATTCATTATATATTTTATTTGTCTTTGCTCAATTTAGCGCTGCACTTTTTTATATATAGTAAAATCAGTCTGTGTATGCAGTAAAGCATGCTTGTTTATATTCACTGTGGAACCTTAGGGGTTCATCCTGTGCATTGTGCAAAAAGGCTATTTGATCATGTCTTCTCTGATCCTCCCCTTCTCCTACTATCCCTAATCCATCTGCACATGCTCAATTTAGTGTGTATTGCTAAAAAAAAAATTTTTTTTTTCAGGGTTGGTGCATGTGCAGCACAGGGTCAATCAGCACTGTCCAGGTAGAGGATCAGGGGTCATGCAGCCTCATAGGACAGTCAGAGGAGAATGAAAACTCCTCCTACAAGCTTTAACCAGTGCTCTGCTGGACACTAATATAATTCGAAAGACTGCTATATACTGCTGATGAAAAAAGGTGTTTAGCAGTTTATACTTGCATTTCCATGTAGTGTGTATTGTGGGAGATGAGATATAGTGAATGCAGGGTTCCGGGTGTAGTAACACAGTCAAAGGAGCCGACAACTCGAAAGGTTAAAATCCAATCTTTATTGAAAATGATGTTCGGGTAAAATACCAGGAACAAAACAATAGATGTGTCAATGGTTTTGTTCCTGTTATTTTAGACCAACATTGTTTTCAATACCGAAGATTGGATTGTAAGCTTTCAAGGTTCCGGTTCCTTTGACTGTTTGTAGGGACAGCTACTTGGGATCATCTCAGGTGAAGCCCTGAGCTTAGCCATCTGTCCCAATATTTATACAACTTAGCCAGACAGCCTGTATAAATATATAGACCTTTCTTATATCGGATGTTAACATTGATGTCATCTGCCCTGTTGTTGAGGGTAATGCAGACATCCATTGTATGGCAATCATTTTCTGGCAATATAATATTTCCTGGAGGCAGATAAAATCATACCCATTTAGCTCCAGATTGCCCACTATACCTAAAGCTCGCCACAAAGCTTACAATCGGATTGTACAATCTACTTTAGATTTACCAGCTAGTACTGTATGTAGTTCAAGGACCTTCCTGAATAGGTACAGATTGATTAGGTAGGTCATCATATGACATAGTTTTGGTAGATCTAAAGTTGATTCTATAGAGATTGTATGGTCAGAATGTAATGTGTATGGTGAGCCTAAAGTTTTACTAAACCCAGGACCCTGCATTCACTATATCCAGTCCACAGTGCACAAAACATGGAAATGCAATTATTTTAGTAAATATAAACTTCTAAATACCTTTCTCATCAGCAGTATATAGCACTCTCGTGTCCAGCCGATCACTGGTTAATCTTGTAAGATTGTCTTATGAGCTGCATAACCCCTCACCCTCTGTCTGGACTGCATTGATTGGCCCTATGCCGATCACATGCACCCTCCCCCCAAAAAGAGCTCTCTAGCAATACACACCAAACAGAACATGTGCAGATTTGCCACTGCTGCTCCAACTATGGCAGATGGATTGGGGACAGCAAAAGAAGGGATCGAAGAGAGAAGACAGGCTCAAACGGCCTTTTTACACAATGCATAGGATTAACCCCTTAGGTTTCACAGTAATTATAGCAAGCATGCTTTACTGCATATACAGGCTGCGTTTACTGTTGTGGGTTTAGTAACACTTTGAGACACAATTTGGGGTCAAGATTGGCTGGCAATCCTATCATATTGTGTAAGAATAGAACCACCTGATTCTAAAAGCCCGAATTGTCAGTCGCAGAGCATATACCTAGGGTACCTATGGATCTGTAACATTTTGTGCATAGAGAGTTACGAGTGGGCTCATATTTAGATAGTAATACTGGCATCAGGTACAGTATGTTCTATGAAGAATAGAAATATGTGTACATTAATTGAACATTTTGGAAAAGATTATTTTGTGATCCTCCGGTGCTTCCTCTCATCTACTGGACCCAATTCCCTTTTCCAGGTTGATTTCTTGGAATATGCAAGAGCCTTTGCAGTGTCCAACAAAGGTAAAATTGGAGAAATGAGTTTCTGTGATAAGGTAGCATTAATAATAGGAAACCCAGATATGACTTAAATGGAGGGTTGGCCGCGTGTCTTACATAAAGGTAACAATATATCGCTTAGTATTGTGGAGGCCACAGTTTGCTTTTAGTTGCAGAAAAGACTTCAATTGTCCCTCACATATAATGTAGCAAAGATAAGTACAGTTGTGACCAAAATTATTCAACCCCCAATGCTGTAAAGGGGTTTAGGGACTATAGTGTACATTTGGAATTGTATTCAGAATCAAATCCTACAAGGACGTTGTAACTACCCAAATGCAACTAAAATGACATCAATTGTTTATGTAATACAGTAGTAAATGGTTCTTATGTGGTTTCTTCATTGCCACAATTATTCAACCCCTTAAAGACTACCACTCTGAAGAACAGAGGTTCATACAGGTGCTTTCCATCAGGTATTGAAAACACCTGTGGATGTCACCGAGCAGCAATCAAGCATAATAAGCACCAATTAGGCAGCTTTAAAATGACTGTGATACTCAGCTCCTTCTAGACATTTACTGGTGTGGTTACAAACATGGTGAAGGCAAGAGAATGGTCCAGGAAGACAAGAGAAGAGGTGATTTCTCTTCACAGGAAGGGCAATGGCTATAAGAAGATTGCAAAGATGTTAAACATACCAAGAGACACCTTAGGAAGCATCATTCGCAAATTCAAGGCAAAGGGCACTGTTGAAACGCTACCTGGTCGTGGCAGAAAGAAGATGCTGACTTCGACTGCTGTGCGCTACCTGAAGCGTAGAGTGGAGAGAAGTCCCCGTGTGACTGCTGAGGAACTGAGAAAAGATTTGTCAGATGTGGGTACAGAAGTTTCAGCCCAGACAATAAGACGCACACTGCGTAATGAAGGCCTCCGTGCCAGAACTCCCAGGCGTACCCCCTTGCTGTCTCCAAAGAATAAGAAGAGTCGACTGCAGTATGCCAAAAGCCATGTGGACAAACCACAAAAGTTGTGGGATAGTGTTCTGTGGACTGATGAAACAAAATTAGAACTGTTTGGGCCCATGGATCAACGCTATGTTTGGAGGAGGAAGAACAAGGCCTATGATGAAAAGAACACCTTGCCTACTGTGAAGCATGGTGGAGGGTCAATCATGCTTTGGGGCTGTTTTGCTTCTGCAGGTACAGGGAAGCTTCAGCGTGTGCAAGGTACCATGAATTCTCTTCAGTACCAGGAGATATTGGATGGAAACGTGATGCAGTCCGTCACACACCTGAGGCTTGGGAGACGTTGGACCTTTCAACAGGACAATGATCCCAAGCATACCTCCAAGTCCACTAGAGCATGGTTGCAGAGGAAAGGCTGGAACATTTTGGAGTGGCCATCGCAAGTCACCAGACTTAAATCCGATTGAGAACCTCTGGTGGGACTTAAAGAAAGCAGTTGCAGTGCGCAAGCCTAAGAATGTGACTGAACTGGAGGCCTTTGCCCATGAAGAATGGGCGAAGATACCCGTAGATCGCTGCAAGACACTTGTGTCAAGCTATGCTTCACGTTTTTAAAAAGCTGTTATAACTGTAAAAGGATGCTGTACTAAGTACTAAGATTGAATGTCACTTGGGGGTTGAATAAAACTGATAATGCTGTGAGCACAGAAAAGACATTTGTGGTTATTTCATTATAACTGTTATGTTATATTTGTCTGACCTACAAGTGCCTCTTTAATGTAAAATGTAAGCAAGATGACTGAATGATCAAAAGCAATGTCAAACTGGCCAAAACACTCAATTTCAGTGGGGGTTGAATAATTTTGGTCACAACTGTAATTCCAAAATGGCTCCTGAACCCAAAATCAGTTTGAATTCAGCAAGATTTACATTGTTCCAGAAGTGTGTAATTATTGAGTACCAAAACATTCAACTTGGTGAATGCCAAATCCTATACATTAATAGTTTGCCTATGGAGATGGTTATGCTTTTTTATAGTAGGGTGGGATATTTATGGCACCCCCAGCAAGAAGAGTGTCTGTCTGTATCTGAAAAATCAAAATACTGCAGACAAGGGCCACGTCATATGTGTTGCCATGATGTGGCTGTATTTCCTGCAGCATTTTCCTGAGAGCCAAGGTTTCACCTAAAATTCTGTTCTACCCTCATCCTGTTTACATGTGACCAGATCAGCATTTGAAATATAGAATGGATATTACAGACCCAGATTTTAGTCTCAGAAAGCATATCTGCAGAGAAGGGAAGAGAGAGAGAGTGATATAAGCCTTGTCACATTTCAATCTTTGTAGCCATTTTTCTGTTCATTTGGCATCACCTCTGTGCGTTACAGCCAGCAATCCTTCAACCTAAACTCCTAGTCCTGCTATTGTGTGCACCAGAGAGGGTGATGTGAGGCGGGTCATTGCGTTTATTTTTCTACTCTTCAAGCTTTACCTTATTCTTGTTTCTTTTATTCTCCTCTGTGCAGTTGGCACCTTTCTCTCTTGCAACCTAAAACAGTTTTACAGTTTTCATTGGTAGTGGGTGTACAGGAGGTGGTGCTGAGAAGAACGACTGGTGGGAGTGAGAAAGCAGTGCCCAGTTATTTACCAGTCCCCCCCACGCCCTCTTTACCAGAAAGACAAGTATCCTCTGTATGTCACATTGTTGTTTTCCTCAGGAGGAACAAGACCTACGTACCCTGCAGGTGAAGAATAAGAAGTTGGCTGGCATGCTGGACCAGAGGCAGGCCATAGAGGATGAACTTCGAGATCGCATCGAAACCCTGGAAAAACGGCAGGCCACAGACGATGCGTCACTTCTTATAATCAACCGTTACTGGAGTCAGGTCTGTCTTTTTTGCATTCAAAATATTTCACAATTCTTAAACGGGACAATATAATGAATTTGCAAAAATACATGCATACATACATGAATGTGGAATAAATATATGAAACGTGGGTGACTGAGTCACTGGCATGCATCCAGAACTGGTATATGGGTTTTTGATAGACTGACAAACCCCAGTCTGGTGAGTCTCCACTGGCAGAACTGCATAGTTAAATAAAATTCTTTGTCCTTTTGCAGTTTGATGAGAATATTCGTATCCTCTTGGGACGTTATGATTTGGACCAGGACTTGGGGGAATTTCTCGGTGAACGAAAAGCTCTAATTATTCCAGAACCAGAACCAGACTCTGACAGTAACTCGGAACGCAAGGACAGTGAGAGAGGTGATTGTTTACATCATATGTAAGCCTCTGTAGATTGGTTGCAGTCACTAGAATAGGTCTTCTCTTTATTAAGAAAGTAATTATTCATTTATGTTAAATCTCCCTCTTATCTGATGCTTGATTGCCCTCAATTTAGATACTTACCCTTCCACTGGATCCAGGTTTATCCTGCTGCAATTCACTTCTATGCTGCTACTGCTCATGCCCTGTGCCACCATCTTCGTCTGTGATGTTAGTGGGATGAGGCGGTCTTTTCCAGGTTTAGGCAGCCACCTCCTGACGATAAGCCACCAGGCCTACCCCCACTGCTTCTTTCATAAATAGGGAGCTCATGCATCTTGGGATATGTTACATGCTTACCCCAGGTGGCGCTGGGAGTACAGCACAATATTATGGCCTAGACTAGAATGGAGGAGGGGGGTAGACTTTTGGGTACTGTTGTTTGAATTTTAGCATAAAGGATTACATCAAACTTTTTTATTTCTCCCAAAAATAGATGGTATAAAAACATATACCGTGGATATAAAAAGTCTACACACCCCTGTTGAAATGTCAGGTTTCTGTGATGTAAAAAAAATGAGACAAAGATAAATCATTTCAGAACTGTTTCCACCTTTAATGTAACCTATAAACTGTACAACTCAATTGAAAAACAAACTTAAATCTTTTAGTGGGGGAAGTAAACATAAAAAATGAAAGTGCGGTTACATAAGTGTGCACACCCTCTTATAACTGGGGATGTAGCTGTTTTCAGAATTAAGCAATCACATTCAAAGTTATGTTAAATAGGAGTCGGTACACCTGCCATCATTTAAGTGCCTCTGATTAACCCCAAATAAAGTTCAGCTGTTCTACTAGGTCTTTCCTGACATTTTCTTAGTTGCATCCACCAGCAAAAGCCATGGTCCACAGAGAGCTTCTAAAGCATCAGAGGGATCTCATTGTTAAAAGGTATCAATCAGGAGAAGGGTACAAAAGAATTTCCAAGGTATTAGATATACTATGGCACACAGTGAAGACAGTCATCATCAAGTAAAGAAAATATGGCGCAACAGTGACATTACCAAGAACTGGATGTCGCTCCAAAATTGATGAAAAGACAAGAAGAAAACTGGTCTGGGAGGCTGCCAAGAGGCCTACAGCAACATTAAAGAAGTTGCAGGAATATCTGGCAAGTACTGGTTGTGTGGTACATGTGACAACAATCTCCCGGATTCTTCATATGTCTGGGCTATGGGATAGAGTGGCTAAATTTTTCAAAAACACATCTGAACTCCTAAAAGCATGTGGGAAAATGTGTTATGGTCTGATGAAACCAAGGTTGAACTTTTTGGCCTTAATTCCAAAAGATACAGTGGGGATCGAAAGTTTGGGCACCCCAGCTAAAAATTTGTATTAATGTGCATAAAGAAGCCAAGGAAAGATGGAAAAATCTCCAAAAGGCATTAAATTACAGATTAGACATTCTTATAATATGTCAACAAAAGTTAGATTTTATTTCCATCATTTACACTTTCAAAATAACAGAAAACAAAAAAATGGCGTCTGCAAAAGTTTGGGCACCCTGCAGAATTTATAGCATGCACTGCCCCCTTTGCAAAGCTGAGACCTGCCAGTGTCCTGGATTGTTCTCAATCATTGTCTGGGAAGACCAGGTGATGTCAATCTCAAAGGTTTTAAATGCCCAGACTCATCTGACCTTGCCCCAACAATCAGCACCATGGGTTCTTCTAAGCAGTTGTCTAGAAAACTGAAACTGAAAATAGTTGACGCTCACAAAGCTGGAGAAGGCTATAAGAAGATAGCAAAGCGTTTTCAGATGTCAATATCCTCTGTTCAGAATGTAATTAAGAAATGGCAGTCATCAGGAACAGTGGAAGTTAAAGCAAGATCTGGAAGACCAAGAAAAATATCAGACAGAACAGCTCGCAGGATTGTGAGAAAAACAATTCAAAACCCACGTTTTGACTGCACGATCCCTCCAGAAAGATCTGGCAGACACTGGAGTTGTGGTACACTATTCCACTATAAAGAGATACTTGTACAAATATGGTGTTCATGGAAGAGTCATCAGAAGAAAACCTCATCTACGTCCTCACCACAAAAATCATCGTTTGAACTTTGCAAATGAACATATAGACAAGCCTGATGCATTTTGGAAACAAGTTCTGTGGACCGATGAGGTTAAAATTGAACTTTTTGGCCGGAATGAGCAAAGGTACGTTTGGAGAAGAAGGGGCACAGAATTTAATGAAAAGAACCTCTGTCCAACTGTTAAGCATGGGGTTGGATCAATCAAGCTTTGGGGTTGTGTTGCAGCCAGTGGCACAGGGAACATCTCACGAGTAGAAGGAAAAATGGATTCAATAAAATTTCAGCAAATTTTGGATGGTAACTTGATGCCATCTGTGAAAAAGCTGAAGTTAAAGAGAGGATGGGTTCTACAAATGGATAATGATCCTAAGCACACCTCGAAATCCACGGGGGATTACATCAAGAGGCGTAAACGGAAGGTTTTGCCATGGCCTTCACAATCTCCTGACCTCAACATAATTGAAAATCTATGGATAGACCTTAAAAGAGCAGTGCGTGACAGACAGCCCAGAAATCTCAAAGAACTGGAAGACTTTTGTAAGGAAGAATGGGCAAAGATACCTTAAACAAGAAGTGAAAGACTCTTGGCTGGCTACAAAAAGCGTTTACAAGCTGTGATACTTGCCAAAGGGGGCAGTACAAGATATTAACTCTGCAGGGTGCCCAAACTTTTGCAGACGCCACTTTTTTGTTTTCTGTTATTTTGAAAGTGTAAATGATGGAAATAAAATCTAACTTTTGTTGACATATTATAAGAATGTCTAATCTGTAATTTGATGAATTTTGGAGATTTTTCCATCTTTCTTTGGCTTCTTTATGCACATTAATACAAATTTTTAGCTGGGGTGCCAAAACTTTCAATCCCCACTGTATGTTTGGTGCAAAAAGAACACTGCCCATCACCAAAAGAACACCATACCCATAGTGAAGCATGGTGGTGGCAGCATCATGCTTTGGGGCTGTTTTTCTTCAGCTGGAACTGGGCCCTTAGTCAAGGTGGAGGGAATTATGGACAGTTCCAAATACTAGTCAATATTGGCACAAAACCTTCAGGCTTCTGCTAGAAAGCTGAACATGACAAGGAGCTTCATCTTTCAGCATGACAACGACCCAAAGCATACATCCAAATCAACAAAGGAACGGCTCCACCAGAAGATGATTAAAGTTTTGGAATGGCCCAGACCTGAATCCAATGGAAAATCTGTGGGGTGATCTGAAGAGGGCTGTGCATAGGAGATGCCCTTGCAATCTGACATATTTGGAGTGTTTTTGCAAGGAAGATTGGGCAAGTATTGCCAAGTCATGATGTGCCATGCAGATAGACTCATACCCAAAAAATACAGTGCTGGAATCAAATCAAAAGGTGCTTCAACAAAGTATTAGTTTAAGGGTGTGCACACTTATGCAACCATATTATTTTTGTTTTTTATTTTTACTTCTCTCCACCTAAAATATTTCAGTTTGCTGTTCAAGTGAGTTGTACAGTTTATAGGTTACATTAGGTGGAAAAAGTTCAGAAATTATTTCTTTGTTTCATTTTTTTACATCACACAAACCTGACATTTTAACAGGGGTGTGTAGATTTTTTATATCCACTGTATGTCTTGCATAAAGTTTCTTAAAGTTTCTCTAAATCTTTTTAGTGCCAAAATACCAACACAAAAACCATCATTGTATTTAAAAACTATTCTTACTTTGTCTAAAAACACGTGACTATCAGGCAAAATTTCTTTTATGGATAGATTTTCCCACATCAATAAAAACTTACCATTCGAAGATCCTTTATTGTTATAAACTTCCATAAAGTCTAAATTGATATCTGGAATATCTGTATTCAGGAAAGTTATCTTACATTCAGTATATCCACTGTTTATTTTCCTCTCATTGATATTCTATTCTTTATGGGGTCCAAGAATGAGACACAGTAAATTTGGTTGCCATAAAAGTGGCACTGTGATATTTGGGTTCCCATTTTAAAAGGATTGTTCATTAATCTTTTCTATGCCTGTTCTGCGGCACTCACCTTTTTCTTCTTCGTTTCTTCTCTAAGTAGGTGAAGGGCTTCCGGACCAGCCCCTGTCTTTCCTGGCTACTCTGGCTAGCAGCAGCAGTGAAGAGATCGAGTCTCAGCTGCAGGAACGTGTGGAGTCATCACGCCGTGCTATTGCCCGCATAGTGGCGGTGTATGACCGTCTGCACACGCGCCTAGACCAGCTCTCCTCCAAACTGGACAGTACAGGTAAAAATCTGCACAGATACCTGTTAAAGCAAAAAAACTATTGGATACCGGCTGGCATTTTTTCCTGTGGTGGTCAGAGTTTTAAAAGATGAAATCTGTTTTGGACAATGTGGTTTTTCAATCAGGTTTTTTCTTTTTGTTGTTTAACACCCCCCCCCCCTTCCTCCTTCATGTTTTGGTCTGCTTTCACAGGGACATGTAATTAGAGAAAAAAGAAAGAATGGGGATGTTTTTCTCACCTTCTGTCCCCATTGGGGTTGGCGGCACATACTACAGTGCAGTAGGAGAAAAATGGCAAAAAAAATTTTGTCAGGATTTTAATCCTTCCTCGGTGTGGTTTTTGTCTGTATCTGTATTTCTGTTACATGTTGGATATTACCCATCACTTCCTGTCCACTAAGCTCGCAGCCTTGACAACAGCACATGGGTATGGTCAGCCCATGATGTTGCTATGCTGGCCTTTCTGGTCTGCTGTCAGCTATGAAAGTTTTTTTTTTTTTTTTTTTTTTCGCTAGCTGGTACATAGTGCTGTTCTGTAGGAGATATTATCAAAGCCCAGTGATCAGTGCTGTGCCTCTCTTCTTTTTAGGCAGGTGTTAAAGGATAAGTTCACCTTTGAACAAAAAGTAATTATTGCACATTATTTGCAGTTGAAAAAATGTGCATTTAATATTTTTCTTGTTTCAGGAACTTCTAAAGCATTGCTCCAGCAATCAGCAGATTGCTGGTGCAATGCATCTCTCCTGCAGACCTGTCAGTGTATCTGTGTGCCCATCCATTGTACGGGCAAAATTGTTAGTTAATCTGGTTGAAAAAAGCCATCTAGTTCAACCGATAAAAGGGAAACATTTAAAAAATTGCATACAATCCTATATACACAATCATATACCCACAATTGACAACCTGGCAAGCAGATACTTACTGGTAGGAAGACTCAATGAACTACCACAGCACTGTGGTAGTTCATTTAGAACTACGAGCCGACAGCCGCAAAGGCTGCCAGGGCTTGTAGTGTTCTCCTTCACAGAATACTGTGAATGAGTAATGGAGCAATGGTCGTGTGTTTTGTTTTTTTTCAATTGTGACCGCTGGCGGGGGGAGAAGATCCCCCGCTAGCTGTCTCATCGGGAGGAAGGGGGGTGCATGGGCTGGTGCATTCATGAATATGGGTCTAACCTAACATGTTACAAAAGGTTATCTTATTTTTTAAGTCAAAAGCAGGCAGAAAAAGCACTAGATACTGACATTTGTTGTATCCAGTTAAAGGGCACGTTATAGAAAGAAACATGGAAGCAACCAATGCTGATTTCTCAATATAAAAATTGCAACTTCTTGGATGCTTTTTGACTTTAAAGCTGAAAAAACAAAATATACATCTGAATTACATAATTGGGAGCTGTTTTAGCTGCCAAGGAATTTATATTCTATCCCTCCAGTCCTGTTTTGCAGAGCAGGAGACATGAATTTTCCTTGCTGCAATTTTTGTGAGGTCTTGTCACTCCCTAGCCTTTGACTGGACAGTAAAAAGAGAAAATACGATGAGCTCAATTTTGTCACCAATGTATCTTCTCTTATCACATGGCACTTTTTGGCACATGAGAACTACACATCTGATTGGCGCTTTGTGTTTTACACTCTCCCAATCTGAGCTCTATTGTACAGGGGCTGCAGAATGCTGATGCCAAATCAAATTTAGGCATTTACATGGTTTACAAAGATCATTCATGTCAGGCCTTGGCTGAAGGTTACTACACTCTGTCTCTTACAGTCACACTAGGGCCCATTTGGGTGGAAGCTGTTTAAAGTAGTTGTAAACCTTAGATATGAAATATGAACAAAGCATATCCCTCTATAGTGTGTGCTTGTCTCATTTAGGAACAGGAACATTGTTTCATTTTTATCTGCTGCCTTGTTCCTCTGTTATCAGCATGAAGCACTTCTGACAAGTTTTCTTGACACCAAGAGAAAAATGGTGACAGGGGAGGGACCTCCAGCAGATTGCTTCAGCTCTATTCCTGTGTGCTCTGTGAAGGGGAGTTATGTCCCTTCCCGCCAACCAGCTCTCAGAGCTCTCCTCACTGAGCTCTGCAGTGTGTAATTTCAACTCTCTGCCCCCTGCTTTCTGACAGCCCAGGCAAGCTTTATATATCCAGCACTTTGGATGTAGAGGAGAAAGGCCTGCAGATAAATGGATACAATGTATGTAGGAGGATTTGTTTAATCACGGTGTATCACCTGAGGCCAGTCACTTCACTGGGTATATGCAAGGGTTTAAAACCACTTTAACCCACCATAACCTTTTTTTTAAGTTGTGGGAGTAGGCCAAAGCATGAGGCAAGTGCACACTGTAAGAGGTAGTGTGTCAGGTGGCAATTGAACCCTTGGTAAGGCTGCTTTAATGATTGAGAAACCTGTATTTCACTGGAGCAGTATAATTGCTGGATTCTTTTTTAACAAAGTAGTTTTTCTCCTGGTACTTGCAGAGCCATCTCAGATAGAAGAAGCTGTCAAGGAGATAAACTCTCTGTCGTCTAACGAAAATGTGCGTTTGCAGGAAGTGTGCAGCCGCTTACAAGAGAAGCACCAAAATATGACTCAAGAGGTCAGCAGACTGTTCATTTTTGTTCAAGTAAAAAAATCCATAATATTCATATTGTATTGAATTGAACCAACCTGTCACTGCAGGTTTATTATTGACTACTGTAGATGTGTGATGACATTTTCCACTAGGTGTCAGGTCATACCATTTGCTTGTGAATGCTTCCAGCACAGTGCTGATATAGACTTTGGTTGGCTAGACACCCAGCATTACATTCTGGAGTAACACAATTTTAATTGCAAAGATTCATGGTAAATCCTGATTTTTGTGGTGCGATCACCTCCCACAGTGTCATAGTAGGTTTGCTTGGCTAAAGCTAAACATACCTAGACGATTTACATGCAGTTTAAAAAATATAGGATACATAATAAGAGGATACAATTAAGTGTCAAAAGGTTCAGCAGTTCCAGGGAAACATACAGCTGAAATTAAAGGTTTAAAAAAAAAAAAAAAAAAAAAATCTTTGCACAGCGCTGGATCGAATGAAGGCTCAGGTAAGTAAAAGGGGGTTAGATGCCAAATGGATGTCTAAACTTTTTTTTAACTTTAAGGAATGCTTTAAGGTAAAAAAAATGTAGGCTCTAGAACTACTTTAAATGCATCGAGGCTGCCATTCCATTAAAACAGCGACAAGAAAAAAAAGTGGGAAAACCAAGCTTGATTGTTACAGGGTAGCTTATATCTTCAGCTTCCTGTATCTTTGGATCTACTTATTATTTGGAAATACAGTTTTTGCTGACCTCTTTATGTATATTTTCACTTGGAATTCCCTAGGTTTGTTTTTAGTCCATGTTTATATATACATTGTGTCATACAGAGCAGCACAGATCTTGTACGAGTCTGCTGCAATACCTGATATCACCAACAGGTAAAATCTCTAAGTGCCCAGTCACACCAGTGCGATTTCACGTGTGATTTGTGAATTTAAATCACCTGAAATAGCATCTAGTGAATTTAACGTGCGATTTACTGCAGCTCTATTTCTAAAGTAGTTCTTGCATTACTTTTTCTGAAGTTTTGTTGAAAATTCACATACATAGAATACTATGGAAATCACACTGCAAATTGCAAGAAATTGTTGAAAATCTTCACAAGTAGCAATAAAGTCTTCAAAAATTGCACAGAAATTTTAAATTGCAGCAGTGTGACCATTGACTTAGTGTTTCTCAGCCTTTTTTCAATCAAGACACCCTTTAAAATTATGCACATCTCGAGACACCCCATTCTAAAATGTAAAAAACGAAACTATTAGTTGTGTGGTGTCCTTTTTTTTTTTTTGTTTTTGTTTTTACAAATAACTTTTTTCTTGAAAGTGCTAATCCAAATATAATAATGTATCTCTCAGCACAGTACAATAGTTTTCACACATTTCCACAATAATGACAAATTGAGAAATAGCATCTGTACAAAGGCACATAATAGTTCACAGAATGTGTGATGCCCCACCCAGACACGTTTTTATAAATTGTGACAGCTAGTGGTGAAGAAGATCCCCTGCTAGCTGCCAACATTGGCGGAGGGGGGGGCAGTTCAGAAAGAGAGTATCCTTACCCTTGATAACCATTGACGTTCTGAGGTGCATCAGTTATATGCCCAGTATACATCACAGAGGATGGTAGCCATACTATTGCTAAGTCCTAATCTAAAAAATATACATATTTCTCAAAAAACATGCCTAACCAGTGTTTTGTCGCTGCCCAATACAGCATCACAGACCATATCAAATTCAATTGTAATCAGCATTTCGGTTACCATTGTAGTATCTGTAAGGACACAAGTGCCAATGGGGCTAGACCTGGAGTCTGTAACCAAGGGTCCCAGAGTTTGTTGAACTTAGACAGAGTACCTCAAAATATCAGTTTTACAGAACACAGCAGCATCCATGTAGTACACCTAACGTGATTTATTCTTCCAGAACAACTTGCACACTGGTACTGAATTAGTATTTGCAGTGTTTCTCTTCCTCACTCAGCTAATGTGACCCCAAGTGCTGACAGAGAGCGGCGGGAGGGGAAAACAAGGATGCTCTGCAGGCACCAGACATCCTCCTTATCAACCGATGATGTAATTGGTTGTTAGTGAGCAGGGGAATGTAGGAAGGATAATGGGAGCGACAGGACTTGGGGAGGATATTATTACTATTCTTAGGAGGTGAACCGTTATTACAAAGGTGGGCAGGAGGCAGGCCATCAGCATGGCTTGTGCAGAACTACAGGTTACCCTTCTGATGCAATGCAGCTGTATAGCAAAGCATCTCAGCCTCATGCTTAACTATATCTTCTTTAATTTCCTTTTGTTCAGTTCACTCAGCTGCAGTCCCGGTTAGAGAATGCAGAATCCCGTGTCTCCCACCTGGATGGCCTCATTGAAGATCTGCAGTGGGACATCGACAAGGTCCGCAAAAGAGAGCAGCGCCTGAACAGACACTTGTCTGAGGTCCTTGAGAGGGTAAGGCACACAGGGTTGTGGTGTTGGTGACATGCCTCATTTTCATCAAAGTTTCTGTAATTACAGCAGTCTGTCTAGCTGGGAGTTAAAAAAAAAAACACAACCCACGTAATTTTTTTTTTTGTTTTGTTTTTTTTCTTTTTGCAGCCCTTTTAAAGTGTCAAACGTGATGTTTACGGCATGACTTGGACAGGTTTTTTTTCTCCGGAGACTTTTGTAAATGAAGCCCAGTGTGTCTTTTCAATGATCAGGTGCCTCAAGGTTTTTCTGTGTGTCTCCCTTAGGTGAATTCGAAAGGCTACAAAGTGTATGGTGCTGGCAGCAGCTTGTATGGAGGAGGAACAATTACCATCAACTCAAAGAAGGTAAAGTATAAAAGCTATGGTAAAAACAGACACCATGTCAGTCTGCCCCCTTTTTTTTTCTCCAGATTGTGGACTTGTAGAGCTCTGCACTTCAGATGAACTACAGGGTTCAGTCTTTAACAGCTTTGTGACCAGAGGTCATCGCAGCCCAGACCAAACCGTGTCTGTCAACTGGACATATATGACTACGTAAATCATTTCTACTCTTTTTTTAAAGGAGAAATATGGCCAAAGCTAATTTTGCTCTACTACTCCTATGGTTCACAGCAGTGCACTCCTGTTACCCTGTCTCACTCACTGGCCAGTGATCAGGAAACGCTGCTTGTTCTCACACTTCTCTCACACATTGATTGCTATGTGAGAGGAAAGAAAGCCTCCTAACTAGCAGCCAGCTCAGTGCAATACAGTACAGTGCCAACCGTATACCCACCCCCATAGTCTTTCACCCCTCTCCTGTATATGTCAGCCCCGTCTTGTCTCTGATCTGTTCTGCATATTATGTCCTCACTTCCTTTTATCCTGCGCTTCTGTACGTTAACCCCTTTGCCTCCATGGCCACATTGTATGTGACCTGTACATTAACCTGTTTACCATTTGATACCTCTGTAAGACCTGTACATTTACTGCATCTAGTACACTCAATGCATGTTTCTTCATTTTCAAAATGTTGTGGCAAAAAAAATTAATTCCTCTTGGGGTGTCTCCTTTCCGAAAAAGGATCCTTTTTTTTCCCATCTTGGCATTTTATTTGCTATGGAAGATTTGTGTGTAAATAAACCCATGTGTTTGCTGGAGTAGATCAGTTGTTTCCAAACTGGGGCTAGATGTGGCCCTTTGCTTGTCCTTATGTGGCCCCTGGGGCACTATTCCACCAACTGACACAAATGATAGGGCATCATTACCCCTACTGACACCATCAGTGTGGAACCTTTTATCTCACTGATACCAACAATGGGGAACTAATACTGGGGCATTTTCTACTCCTACTGGTCACAGTCCGGACCCTATAAAGCCTGAAGAAGAGTAAACTGGCCCTTTGCTAGGAAAGTCAATAATTAAAGTCACTGACTTGCAACAAGCAAAAGTCAGAACCCATGTTATACTTGTTTGACTAGGAAATAATCAAAGCCCCCCAACTCACATTCTTCTAAGGGTTCTGGGGCAGCTTTCAAGCACTTTCTACAGGTGCTGATGTCTGCAGCCTGCAATTAGGTTATCCTCTGGTGAAGCGTTGCTTTGTAAATAATACCCTCTCAGGTACCAGGAAAAAAGAAAAAAAAAACATTTTTGTTTGCATATGATTGGATGATGGAAGTCAGCAGAGCGTCACCACTTTCACTAATCTCTGGGGGGAAATGAGTGCAACTGCACTTGTAAAGTACGCAGTCTATATGCCTTTAGGAAATCAGCCCCAGTATCTTGCACCCCTTTTAGAATCGAAAACCGAAACTCATTTTAAGGGGATGCCTGTTTTTTTTTGACATTTTTGACAAAAGATGGGTGTATGGGGTGATAGGCATACAGACTGGGGTGTAACTTGGCCCATGATTGGCCATGCCACCTCATGTCCATACACCTGATTTCTCATGTGCCCATTGTCAGAGCAATTTGAATTCCATTAACAGCAGACTTTGTGCCTCTGTCAGGGCTCCTTTATTTGTGGCACTTGAGACCTGTTCAGTTGGGTATGATTTTATTTATTTATTTGACAGTTTGAAGAAATGACCACTGAAGTTGACATGAATAAAGAGCTGGCTGTGAACCGCCTTCAGGAACTGGAGAAGCTCAAGCAAGACTTGCATGAAGTGACTTCAGAGAACAAGGACTTGCAGGTTAATTCTTCAGTTCCGCTTCCTTCCCCAATGACATCTTTGCTTCTGTAGTTTGGAACCATCTGTAACTGATGTTTGTCTTGAAAGCTCATTAAAGAACACTGCAGACCTCTGGGGTGTAGGCCCTGTCTCCAAGAGGTTGGACACTAAGCTAAAGCACAAGGCTGTTGTTCTTCCATGCTTGAGTTAAGCAGTCTAGGTATATGACCACAAGTAGGGGAACAGAGTAGTGCGGCTGGTATGAATGAAGTGTTGTGAGATACTTAGTTCATGTGGCTGTGGGATTTTGCTGTATTGTAAGTAAAGGACTTTCAACTGGGACATTTCTTTTTTCTGTGCTGCCCAGGAGCAACTGTCAAGATCAGTAGAGGAGAACGTGCGGCTGTGTCCAGAATACCGCTGCATGCAGTCACAATTCTCTGTCCTGTACAATGAGTCACTGCAGTTAAAAGCGCAGTTGGATGAGGCTCGTTCTCTGCTGCATGGGACACGCGGCAACCACCAGCGTCAGCTAGAGCTCATTGAAGTGAGTATACTTTTAACCCTCTTTAATTATCACTTAGAGTAATATTCCTGATTTCACAGCAGAAAATACAACAAAAAATAAAAAAAAAAATGCAAATGCAGCATGTGCAACTACATGTATCAAAAATTTGATTTTTTTTGATGGCTTTGAATGGTTAAAACCACTGTCAGGGTTTGTTTATTTTTTTTTTTGTCCCTTTTTGGGGAGATTTTTCTTCACTTCTAGTCTTGAGACACCATATAAAGTGAAAGGAAATCACTCCATGGGGGAGGGAGCTTACTAGAAAAATTCCCATTGGAAAATCTCCCCTCTACCCCAATTCTATTTGGCAAGCCCATTCAAACCAATTGGGAACAAGCTTTTAAAATGATGCACGTCCAAAGAAATGTACTGTATGTACTCTTTGTTTGACACTTAAACTGTGGTTTGAGTTTCAACCACTCCGCTAACAAATGGGAAGGATGCACAGAGATGGGTTGGAGTAAATGTCATCTGGTACATTGAATGCTGGGATTTGTAGAGAATTGTACTTTTGTTCTAGTTTCCCCACTGGAGCCTGGATGGTCATTGATGAGTTAAGCTGCCATAATTTTCATTGATTTTAGCAACAGGATTAAAGTGGTAGTAAAGTCCTTTTTTTTTTTTTTTTTTTTTTTCCCCTAATATATATTATCTTTTACCTACAAGTAAGCCTATAATAAGGCTGACCTGTAGGTACAGTAAATAACTCCTAAACGTGCACGCAAGCACACTGTGCTATCAATGGACGGCTTGATGTCCATTGAGAGAGCCATTGAGCGATTCGTGTCTCGGTTGAATCTCCCACATGCATGCTCAGTAGTGACGTCATCGCGGCTTGGCAGGAAGACCGGGTGAAGATGGAAGCCACAGGGAGCTGAGACATTATGCTCCTAACATGCAGGGAGATTTTTTTTCTTTTTCTTTTTTGCACGTTAACTTCCACTTTAAGATAGCAGACTATTGCAAAATCTTAGTTTATCTGGGGGGAAAAAAAAAGGTTTACCATTTATAATGCTAATTTATTGAGTGTGCTAGACTCATTACAATATTGATATTTTAAACAAAGTTGCAGTTGTACTTCAAAGTAAACGAAAGGTGGTGCAGTTTGGCTGGACCTTTAGCCTTGGTTCACACCAGTGCGGCTTTGAAATTGCGCTACTTCAAAGCCGACTATCAGTGCGAGTTCATATTCGGTTTGCCGAGATCTTTGTGACTTCATTTAACAGATGTTAATGCAATTCGCACTGAAATCTTACAGAAATAGTGCAGGAACTTTTTTCAAAGTCACTGCGACTTGAGTCTCAGTGATTTGAATAGTTCCATTGCCACTAATGTGTGATTTGTCATGTGACTTTGAACGTTCAAGTCGCATGGCAATTCGCACTTGTGGGAACCAGGGGATATATCAAAAAGGAGAAGAACATAGAAAAATAGGAAATATGTTTTGTAACCCTGTATCATTTAAAGTGGGTAGCAGGGCACGTCGGTGGACGATGCTGTGAATGTATGGCAGCCAATGATGGATGATGTTTAGGAAAACCGGTACTGAGCAGCACTTGTACAGAGTGGAAGCAAACTCTGTGTAGAAGAAGATGAAACAGGAAGGCGCTTCTAAGTGCAGTATTCCAAGGTCAGCTTTTAATAAAACCGGTTAAAAACACTTACAATGTGGTAGTGCAAACAGGCTCTAATGTAATCTGTCAATAGCTGGGCCTGAAGACTGGCTTGAAGAAGGAGCTCTGCGCATGCTCCAAAACACGTCACCGCTCCATGCTTGCTTCACTTCTGGTCTGTGCACAGCGTGCATTCCAGCATGAGCTCCAGTGGATAGAGCTGCAGCCATCTTTAGCACCTCTTCTCAAGATCCCTCTGCAGCTGCTGGCTGGCACAGCGGCTCCATCACTTAGAGGACAGAGCCCTGCTTTTGATGGATTACATTAGAACCTGTTTGTACTACCACATGGTAAGTGTTTTTAACCTCTTTTATTAAAGGTTGACCTTGGAATACTGCACTTAGAAGTGCCTTACCCTGCATCATTTGCCTGTATATATCCAAAAAGTGAAACATAAAGGAAAATAAGAATTATATGTGTAAGCCTGCATAATTTGCCTGCATTTATTGAAGTAACTGTATTTTTAAGTGTGTATTTAAACCTTTAGATATCAGTTTAGGCTGGACTTACCCCCTAAGCAAATTTCCATGGTTGCTTTCCTCTTTGACTATTGGCATATTTTACTGAAGTTCTTTCCTTTCTCCATTATCTCAGCGGGATGAGGTGGCTCTTCAAAAAAAGGTGCGCACTGAGGTGATACAGCTGGAGGACACGCTTGCACAAGTGCGAAAGGAGTACGAGATGCTGAGGATTGAGTTTGAGCAGACGCTGGCTGCCAATGAACAAGCAGGTGTGGTTTTTTTAAATTTTAAAATGAGCAAATTTTCCAAGGCTGAAGTCTGCTGTCATAGATTTAGACTGGGAGGGAATGTTATCATTAAAACACACACATAAGCTCTGTGCTCATCCTGCTGTACAACAACTTTTATCTATCCAGTTTACCTGGATGTTATATGGGGCTGTTTAGTACATGCAGGACAATAGCTAAATAGCAGCCGCAAAGGCAGGGTGGGGTAAATAAGTCTGCTTACACTTGAAAACAAAAGGATCAAAATGTTAACCTCTGTCAAAAATAAAATTAAGATACAGTGTTTAACAAAACAATCCCAGAGGTACAGGCTGAGAATAATTAATCAAAGTGCTGCTAATTCAGCTGGCTAAGCAAGGTTGTAAAAATTGAAAATTAATGACAGGTTGCAAAAGAGAGTAGGACAAACCCCAACGTTTTCTGCAAATATATTAGGAGTAAAAAGGTCAGGTCTGGCATGTAGGCCCTTTACTATATAATTTTGAGCTGGTGACTGGGGTCAAATAGAAGTTTATATTAAATACTTTCTGCAGCTCTGTGTATACAAAGGAAAATGCAAAAGTTCAAGTCCTTAATGGGGAGCATAGCCCTGAATGATCCACAATGGCTCAAAATTGATATGGTTGAGCTCTGTTTTACGGTGCCACTAGATTGGCATAAGGCCAGTGTGGTGTCTACGTTTAAAAAGGGTTCAAAGTTTTACCTAGTAACTACAGACACTTCTAAAGTCGGTAAGCAACAGACATCATGGATTCACTAAAGACAGAAGTTGTCAAACAAATCTGATTTCTTTTTATGAGGAGGTAAGCAAAACCTTAGACAACGGAGTGGCGGTGGACGTGGTATACTTGGATTTTGCCAAAGTGTTTGACACAGTTCCCCACACATGGCTAATGTGTAAGGTAAAGTCTACAGGCTTACAAAATTAAAATTGTAAATTGAAGGAAAACTGGCTAAAAGACCGTGTTCAGCGAGTAGTGATAAATAATTCATACTCTGAATGGTCTAGGGTTGTCAGTGGTGTACCCCAAGGTATAGTGTTGGGACCCTTACTTTTTCACATATTTATAAATCACATAGAGTCTGGGATTAAAAATACAATTTCAGTCTTTACAGATGACACCAAGTTGTGCAGTGGAATAACGTACTTACAGGATGTCTCCAATTTACAAGTCGACCTCAATGCACTGTTTAATTGGGCAACTATGTGGCAAATGAGGTTTAATGTTGATAAATGTAACGGTTTTTGCGCTTGGGGCTAAAAACATGCACACATCATACATACTAGGAGGAGTACAACTGGGTGAGTCAATGGTGGATAAGGATCTGGGTGTTCTGGTAGATCAAGGGTCTCCAAACTTTCTATAAAAATGACCAGTTTTATGTCCTTCATACATTAGGGGGGCTCAGATTGTGTTCCCCCAGTAGTAGATAATGCCCCAGCAACAAGGGAAGTAAACAATGCCTCTGACTTGGTGTTCAGTGAGAGTAAAAAACAGACATAGCACCTCTGGTCAGTAGGACCAAGAGTAGTGTCCTGTCATTCGTATTGGTGGAATAGTGCCCCATCATTGGTGTCATTTGGAGGAATGGTGCCCTAAGGGGTCGCTAAAGGCAAGAAAATGGCCAAAGTTTGGAGACCACTGTGGTGGATCATAAACTTAAAATTGGATGCATGCAATGCTAAGATGTAGTTTCTAATGCTGGCAAAATCCTTTCTGGGATTAAAATACTTACAGACTTCAGAGAGAGAGAGACGCACAGTTTTACCCCTGTACAAATCCTTAGCAAGACCTCATCTGGAATATGCAGTTAAATTTTGGGCACCAATTCACAAAAAGGATATTGGGGAACTGGAAAAAATTGCCGAGAAGGGCAACCGAAATGATTAGAGGGATGGAAGAACTCCGTTTTGAGTAAAGATTAGAGGAACTGAATTTATTCTTTTGAGAAAAGGCAACTAAGGGGGATATGATCAACATGCAAATACATAAGTGGTCCATACAGTGAACTTGCTGTAGTGTTATTCAGGCCATTGCAGAGGACAAGGGAGCACTCTGGAGGAAAATAGATTTAACCTTCATGTATAAAAAGGCTTCTTCACAGTCAGAGCTATGAAAATGTTAAATAGACTCCCTCAAGAATGAGTACTGACCAGCTCAGTAAATTGTTTTGGGAAAAAAAAAATGGATGCATTCCTGAATGCACAAAATATAACTGGATACTAACATTTAGGGGTAATAACACTAGGGGGAGTTGATTAAGGGAAATCCGAATGCCTCATCAGGGATCACCTTTTAAAAACACAAAAGCAATCACATGCCTATTATTGTCCACGAATATTAAAATTTTTATATTAAATATATTAAATTTATAATAATATGGCTATTGCTTCCAAACTTCGTCACTATTATTTGCAACAATATAATCTGCGCCCCTTTCCCCTTGCTCACATTGGTTACCCTCTGCCTTTCAGTCTGAGACAGGCTCCTATATACAGGAGATGGCTTTGCCTATTATTGAGGACGACTCTGCTTATGCTCCTCTTCACGATCTAGATGCTCCTCTTCATGAGACTTTTTGAGAGTTTCTGCGGGCCATCAAGGGCCTTAAAAATGGGAAGAGCCCTTGTCAAAACCGAAGCATTAAGCATTTCCCTCCCAAGTAGCATCCTCTCTGCTATCAAAACTAATTTTCCCTTTTGTTGGCAGCATAGATTCTTTACCTACCTAGGCACAGATATCCCTTCATGCCACTCTGATCTTTACTCCCTGAACTATAGCCCTCTGTTGACCAAAATTCGCAGGTCCCTTGATCCTTGGCACAATATGAACATTCCATGGTTCGGAAGACTTGCATTTTGAAGATGGACAGTTTTCCTAAACTACCTTACATTCTCTTGCGACACATTTTATTTGGCGCCGTCGATTTTCCAGACTAAAATAAAGGACTCTCTGCTCCCCGAAATCACAAGGTGGGTGGGTTTTCCTGATTTTGAGTTATATCACTCTTTAGCTTTGGTCTCCTAGAGTGTTTCCCACGTCCTTTCCTGAATTTCTCCACTTTAGTAGAACAGACTCAGTCTCCTGTAGACCTTCGAGTGCTGCTCTGCTTTCTCCACATTCTCACCAGTAGGTATGGCCTCACTAGGCAAATGGTATTGCTGCGGTGGTCAGTACTTTCTTTCAACTGTCCAGAGCCCGCTCTCGCTTCTTTTTGATAACCCTCTCCTCCATGACAGTCTCCATATGGCTACCTTTGTGTGTTATATTAGATTGAACTGGACCATGGCGATTTCCTTTGTGCAATTAACTTCAGCTTGTTTCCAGTGCAGCGTCTACCTTGAACTGGCTCACGAAACTTCAACTGTTGGTCGTTCATAAATCCATGGACTCTTCAGATCTGGTACATGGGCCTTTCATGGAGTTTGAAAGCTTATGTCTCTTCTCGGAGGTCCCCCATCACACTTTATCTACTGTCTTCCCACTTTAACTGAATTGTGGTCTATGGATTTTATGCCATGAGATCTCCCCTCGAGGATTGGCACACAGCATTTTCTATTCACCCGCAAATCCTCGATTTCTTGCTATGCCCATGAAGAGTCCCCCACCCCATTACCTGCTGTTGTTCTGTTGTCTACACTCCTGGGATCTGTTAAGTCTCAGAAAGACTTACTACCCCCTTCTTTTTTTTTTCTCTGCCTCAAGACTTGGATAACTTGAATCAAGACTGGATATCCTGGATACTTCCTTTATTCGCTTTTCTCCCATGTGCTGGATTGCTTGCTTTTCTTCAAGCTAGTTTATCTCCTGTTCCTGTATGCATGGTTTTGCACAGCTTAATACGTCACGGTCCGGTCTGGCTTTAGTCTCCCGCCTACTCTTTCTCTTGTCTTTCTTCTCCTTTCTTTTTGTCCTATTTGCCCCTCTCTTGTCCCTTGCTTGAGTCCCCTGGTGGGCCCTTAGGCTTCTTCCTAGGTATATTGTTACTCACCATGTTGTATTATTGAGGTCTTTGGGGATGCAGCTAATTCTCGCGTTGACTACATATAGTTTTGTGTATATGCCTATATCTACCCACCTACGTAGTGGTGTACTTCCTTATTGTGGAGTCTTTTCTCATTTTATACAAAATATTTTTTTTTCTGTATTGCTCTGAAATTTCAATAAACACATTTTCAACCTAAAAACTCATTTTGTTTACCTTTTTTTTTTTAGGCCCTATTAATCGTGAAATGAGACATCTGATCAGCAGCCTGCAGAACCACAATCACCAGCTAAAGGGGGAGGTTCAGAGGTACAAAAGGCGATTGCGAGAGATCCAAAGTGAAATCAGTAAGGTAAATCAGTGAAGGAACTGCATGGCGTGTGTAAAAAGGAGGAGCGGTATCACAACTCTTCTTTTGTGTTTAGGTGCGTTCTCGCAGTACTAGTGGTATCTTCCTGCTGCCCTCACAGTCCAGTGTGGAGGAGACCCGAGAAGAAACCATAGAGATCAAGACAGAGCCAGAGGAAACTGCACCTCCAGCACCAGCCCCACCACAACCAGAGGTCATCCCAAAGAAAGAGGAAGAGGAGGTACAGCCGCCACCACCACAGCAGCAGCAGCAGCAGCAGCAAGCAGCAACAACAGAGGGAGAGGCGGGAGAGGGAGAAAGAGCGAGAGAGGGATCGTGGGCGGGAGAAAGACCGAGGTGACAGTTCCAAGGAGAAATCAAAACACGAGCCAGACACAAAGCGCAAGGAGGCAGAGAATGTCAAACAGATGAAGGCTGATCTCAAGTAAGGCATTTTAGCATTTGTTTGCACATCTCATAAAATTCTAACCAGTGTTTTTTTACACTTTCCTGTCAAACCAGTCTTTTTGACAA